TTTTAACAGAGAGAAAGGAAGAGATAGAGAGCTAGAAATGTCGATGAGAGAGAAACATCAACCAGTTGCCTCTTGCACACCCCCTACCGGGGATATGCCCGCAACCAAGGTACATGCCCTTGACCGGAATCGAACCTGGGACCTTTCAGTCCACAGACCGACGCTCTACCACTGAGCTAAACCGGCTTCGGCCAAAACTTCTTATGTCAAATTTTCTGAAGGTGTTAACATCATAGAGATTTTTACGCTAAAAAAATGTTGAATTTTGTGCCAAGAAAAGAGCATTTGCAGAAGTTCTAATTCATTACTTTATTTTGAAGAAAAGTGCTGCTGAAAGTGATTGTATACTTCGGGAAGCTTGTGGTGAGCATGTTCCATTTCAAGATACTTGTGAACACTGCTTTAAATGCTTTAAAAGTGATGATTTCGATGTGAAAGACAAAGAAAGTCCAGGTCAACCAAAAAACTTTGAAGACCATCAATGACAAGCATTATTGGATGAAGATGTGTGTCAAACTAAAAAAACAACTTGCAGAAAGATTAAATGTTGCTCAGCAAACCATTTCTGATCGTTTACATGCAATGGAAAGATTTTAAAGGAAGGAAAATCAACTGAAAGAAAGTCTTTTTTGCATCAAATTGTGACTGGCGATGAAAAGTGGATTTATTTTGAGATTCCCAAATGCACACAATCATGGGTTGATCCAGGTCAACCATGAACATGGACTGCAAGGCCAAATCGCTTCGGAAAAAGACAGTGCTCTGCGTTTGGTGGGATCAGGAAGGTGTGGCGTATTATGAGCTTCCAAAACCAGGTGAAAACGTGAGTACTGATTGCTACTGACAACAAATAATCAATTTGAACCACGCTTTGATGGTGAAACTACCAGAATGGGCCAGAAGACATGGCAAAGTAACTTTGCTTTATGATGATGCACCATCACACACTTCAAAACCAGCTAAGGACACATTAAAAGATCTTGCCTAGGAACTATTAACCCACCGGCCATATTCACCAGCCCTCGCTCCTTCAGATGACTTGTTCCAATTCAGATGACTTGCACACGCCTGGTCTGAGCAGCACTTCAAAACGTACCAGGAAGTGGGAAATGGGGTCTCTGAATGGTCTGCCTCAAAACAAGAAAAGTTCTGTTGGGATGGTATCCACAAATTACCTGGAAGATGGGGAAATGTGTACCTAGCAAGGGGTATTACTTTGAATAAAGCACTTCTGGTGTTTCTCTTGAAATTATCATACTTTCTTTGATTACAAAAGCTACATTAGTAACCAGTTCACCGCTTGTGCCTAACTCCCCGTCCCCTGGGTAAACAGAAGGAAACTATGTATCCTTTTCTTCCTGCCTCCCACCGCAAACAATCTGGTTCCTGACCAAGGTTCTCATTATTTCTGCAAGTCCATATTACTAGTCCTATTTATTTCATTCTCTCCATCACTCCACTGCCGGAAATGACTTCCTTCAAAAATTCATCAGTAGTTTTAACTCTGCGGGGGGGGAGGGGGCGATGGCAAAGAGCCTCCATGTCTAAAATGCTTGGGCTTTTTTTTTTTAATGTATTTTTTAATAATCAGAAAAATATTAATAATTAATATTAATACATTTCAGGGAGTTTGCTGACCCCTCCCCCTCCACATACTTCAAGACCTTCTCTTCCAGCACATAATGTCCACAGCTTTGCCCCTAACCCGAGCCCATCTGCTCTGCCTAGATGTTCTCAGGGTTCAGTGCTGAAGACCCAGTGTTGGAAGGCTGGTCTGGTCACTCCAACTGACCAGCGTGTCTCCCTGCAGCCACCAGAGCAAGAAGATGCCTCTACCTTACTCTGCCTTCCTAACCGAACAGATTCCTAGCTGCAAGGGAGTTTAGTAGTTTTCGGTTTTCTAACCTCTGCAACTAAGGAGGACCTTAAAAGAAGTGGGACGGAAATGGAGAGCCAAGTAACAGACCCCAATATGGAAACTGCTGGAAAAAGTAAGCAGTAGAGCAGCAGAGAGGTTAAAGGTCTAGGCCTTGACTATGAGGCCATGCCAATTTGTATTTGACCCAGAAAGTGACCAAAACACATGAGGTCTGAAGGGAGAAAAGACACAACGAAAGCTGTTTCTAGAAAACATGACGGAACTGCTGCAGTCCATCAAGCCCAAAGGCGATGTAAAACCTGACTAGGGCTTCAAAGAAGATGGGGGAGGTGAGGATTTGAGACATCAAAATATACGGCCACAACTGGGCTTTCAGAATAAGACTCCAAATCATATTCTGAGCACAACTCCCCTGAAATCCTCCAGTCTGCTTTGGTTCAGAGACTATAAATTGCCCTACAGTTACCTATAGGAAATTTGCCATCAATAGCACTTAAAAAAACACCTGTGAGGAACCAGAATGGTGGCATAGGTAAACCTCTATGCGCACTGCCCCCCACAACCACGTCAAAATCACAACCAATACAGAACAACGATCATTCAGAACCACTGGAAAGCTGGCTGAGTGCAAGTCCTACAACTAGAGAGGAAAGAAGGAAGCACACCGAGACTGGTGGAGGGGCGGGGCGCTTTTTCAATTGGGAGGGAGGTCATCTCTGTGGGGGCTGCTCAGAAGAGCAAGGGGTCCCAGCCCCACACCAGACCCCTGCCCAGGGTCCAGCACTGGGAGAAGTCCCCACAATGACAGGCTGTGAAAACCAGTGGGATTGGGGCTGGGAGACACAGAGGCTGCTGGGGACCCAGCTACTCCTCTTACTGGACTGGCGCATGAACTTACTTGGCTGGGTTCTTCCCAGTTCCAGCGCCGGGGGACCCAGATGTAAACCAGGAGCGGATGGTCTGGCCTCAGGGCAGGAACTCAGGGATTGCTTTCTCAAAGGCGCAGGTGCTCACAGGGGTCATTGTTCCTGTGGTGGGACTCTCCCCATCTCTGGGCTGACTGGCAGCCTTACCCGAATCCCCATCATCCAGGAGCACTGTTAGCTTCGCCCCAGTGATTCCCTGAGACTCCGCCCCACCCAAGTTGTTTGCAGCAGCTTTTCCATATGAATGACCAGTCCTGGCTCTCAAACAAGCTGCAGCTGGTGATAACATGCCCCAAACCTGCCAATAAAAGGCCCAAGACCCGGCTCTAGCACCAGAGCCTTGCTTCACAGCTGGGCCTCCCTCCCACAAAGCAGCTCTCTCTATAGCCCCAACGGGTCCTCACAGCCAATTGGCCTGGAGGTCAACTCCTCCCAGAGATGCCAACAGTAATCAAGGCTCAACTACAAAACTGGGCACACAGTCCACACAGGGACACACCTAGAGGGCCCCAAGCTCAGGTGACTGAGGAGGCTGAGCCACTGGGTAATGACAGAAAAGTTCCCCCACCTGGTGAAATAAATAGACTTACAAGTCCAGGAAGCACAGAGAGTCCCAAACAAGAGGAAGCCAAAGAAGACCACAAGAAGACACATCATAATTAACATACCAAGGGCAAAAGACAAAGAGAGAATCTTAAAGGCAGCAAGAGGAAAACAGTTAGTTACCTACGAGGGAGCACCCATACGATTATCAGCTAATTTCTCAACAGAAACTATACAGGCCAGAAGGGAGTGGCAAGAAATATTCAAAATAATGAATAGCAAGAACCTACAACCAAGATTACTCTACCCAGCAAAGCTATCTTCAGAATTGGTCAGATAAAGAGCTTCACAGATAAGAAAAAGCTAAAGGAGTTCATCACCACCAAACCAGGATTATATGAAATGCTAAAAGGTACTCTCTAAGAAGAGGAAGATTAAGAAGAAAAAAAAGAGTAAAAAGTGTGAATAAATGGCAATAAATACAGATCAACAATCAAATCTAAAAATCAAGATAAAGAAGCAATCTAATGAACAAAGTAAACTGGTAAGTAAAACGAAAGCTGAGGCATGGAAGCATGAAACAGACTGACTCTCAGCGGGAGTGGGGGAGGGGTGGGAAGAGATCAAAGATCTTAACTAAGGACAAGAACAGGGTGCTGAAGGCATGGTGTGGGGCTGAACAGGGTGGAGGGAGGGAACATCTATAATACTCTCAACAATAAAGATTTTTTTTTAAAATCTGTGACATTTTAGGAATACATAAGACACAACATCAATGTTCTCCTTTCTTCAACAGGTTTATTGCCTTTTAAGAAAATTTTTGTAAAATATAAATACAAAGGCAGAGAATTTACTTACAAAGTTAAAACACAGATTTCAAACATAAACACACAATTCAGAAAATTTTAGTTTTATGTACATTTTCAAGCAACCTCAACATATTATGTTAGTTTTCAATATTTTACAGGGTACAGAAAAAAATAGCTCAAAGTCTTCTTTAAATAAGAGCATAAAATGTTTAAACATATAAACAATCCGGTTTGATGCGTGAAAACTAATTTCACAGCTTTTAAATTAGGATATAAAAGTTTCATACAATTAGTTGTTGTGTGTGGGTATGGTTTGAATTTATATTACACGCCACTGGACTGCATCCAATGGCATTTACCTGACCCGAGCAGGTACACTGTAAACAAAACATAAAATTACAACATCACCGAATTCACCCCAAACCAACCACACAGGTACAGCCACACTACAGGGCTGTTGCCTCGGCCATCCGTCGGAGCTTTGTATGAAATTAAATCAGAGTGTTGCGCTCCGTTTCCTCTTTTTTTTTTTCCCCCCTTCCTTAAAAAAGAAAAGCAAAGAAACACATCTTCCAAGAAAAAAAAAAGACACAAACATACCCCAAAGCGTGTGTGCATGGAAAAGCAAAGGAACATTACAACAGCTTCATAAAAACGGACTGAAAAGCTTAAAAAGGAAACAGAACCACGTTTCGAAGTCCTTTCCCACTGGAGCCGTTTCTCTTATATAAAGAAGAGATATTTCCATATGTAATAGTGTCCTTTCTTTACAGAAATAGCCGTATGTGGCACCTATGCACAAGGATTAACACTATGACACACTGTACAGGCAGCCGGGCCAGCTCACCAGTAGTCGTCCGAGCCCGTGTCGCTGGGGTGCAGCCACTCCACGGTGGAGCCCAGCAGGCTCTGCAGCTCCCCCGTGAACTCCACCAGATCCAGGAGCTCCTTGCTCTCGGGGTTAAAGGCCTCCATGTCTTTGGGGCAGGAGAACAGGAGGCTCGCTGCAACCTGCCGGTAGAACTCGGCCTCGGCGATGGCGACGATCTCCACGTTGGGGAAGTTGCAGCGGAATATCCGCGAGGACATTTTCAGCTTCTTCAGCACGTCCGACAGCAGCAGCCAGTTGCGGGGCCTGCGGCGGCAAGCAAAGCTGTTTGAGCGCCGGGCACCGTGCGAAGTGCTTGCCAAGTGCTAACCGCCAGCGCCGCGAGCTGGGTCCCTGGTGGGACAGGCAGGGGCCGCTCCGTCCGCACGGACACCCCCTCCCCCAGCACCCCTCCCCCCGCAGAAGAGGGGATATAGTTCTTGCCACCCCCTCTGGCTGCATCTCCATTTATCAAGAGGCCACTTAGGGCCCGGCCTGCATGGCTCAGGGGTTGAGCATTGACCTAGGAACCAGGAGGTCAGGGTTCGAATCCAGTCAAGGAGACAGGCCCGGGTTGCGGGCTCCACCCCCAGTGTGCGGCGAGCAGGAGGCGGCTGATTCATGATCCCCCCCCCCCCAACCCGGATGTTTCTGTCTCCCGCTCCCTTCCGCTCCGAGATCAATAAAAACACATTAGGAACAAACAAATAAAAGAGGCCCCTCGGGGAGGACCAGGCAACGCAGCCAGGAGCCGGAGCGGCAGCTGGAGGAGCCGCATCACAAACTGCCGCGTCACAGGCGCTGGCGGAACCTGACTCAGGGGCTCCCTCTCCAAGGAGAGCCCGGCACCATCCCGGAGAGGCCAGCACAAGCGCCCCCTTGGTGTCTCCTCCCCTCCCCCGCACAGACAGAGCACCATAAACGCAGAGGCGGGCCCTCCAGCTTTCCCACCCCAGCCCCAGCCCCAGCCCCAGCCCCAGCCCCGGCCCGCAGGGCGCCTGCGAAGGTGTGTTCCATTCCTCACACCCGTCCTCGCCACTCTTACGGGTCAGCCATGGGCCTTGGGCTCAGGGGCAGAGCCCAGCCGTGGGAGCGTCACACACACGGGGTCAGAAGGGTGTTGAGGCATGAGACACGCACAATTCAGTGTCGTGTGTGTGTGTGTGTGTGTGTGTGTGTGTGTAGGAGTGACGCTGGCAGGGGGATGGGCAGGGATGAACACGAAGAAGCAAATAAAAGACGGGTGTGTGTGCATGCGTGTGTGTCCATTGTCAGATCCTGCTGACTACACACATACACACACACACACACACACACACACACACACACACACGAGCTAACCAAATCTGATGACACAAAAGAGCCCGGGGACCTCCCAGTGCTTTTGCTCATCAGATGCAGGAAGTACATGTCATCGGTATAGATCAGGGACCTCAGTGCCTGGAAGGCTCCTCGGTGGCCTGTTGGAGGGACTTAGGATCCCTTTCCAAAGAGCCTAGTGACTGAAGGACCCAACAGTGTCCTGTGAGCTCTGGGGGTGTATTCTTTGTTTAAAAAATATATTTGTATTGGTTTCAGAGAGGAAGGGAGAAGGAGACAGGGAGAGGGAGAGGGAGAGGGAGAGAGGGAGAGAGAGAGAGAGAGAAACACCAATGATGAGAGAGAATCATGGATTGGCTGCCTCCTGCACACCCCACACTGGGAATGGAGCCCACAACCCTGGGCCTGTGCCCTGACCGGGAATCGAACCCTGACCTCCTGGTTCCTGGGTCATCACTCAACCCCTGAGCCACACCGGCCGGGCTCTGATGGCGTGTTCTGATGAGGGCAGTTACTAACCATGCTGTGCCCCCCCCCCACACCACCACCACCACCACCACCACCACCACCACCGGGGAAAGATCTGCATTTCCAAGTGTGAGACACATTGGAATCCCCTCCCCCACCCAAGAGCACCTGAGTCGTCCCCAAGTACAAGACAGCCATGCTCACCCCTGAGCGACGGACACTTGGACATTGTAACACGGCAGGAGGGGGCTTTCCGCAAACTCAAATTCGAACACATCACTGCAGGCCTCATCATCCTCCTGCAGATCCTCTGGCCCCGGCGGGTTCGCCAGCACATCATAGCCACTTTCATCATCAGGCTCTAATGGAGGGCGAGCGAGAGGGAGAGAGAGAGAGAACGGCATCAGCACAGTCAGACTGTGTCCGGCCCCAAACATGCTTCCCAGCAAGCTCCGCTTAGGGCACCCGCATCCCCGGCAGAGAAATGGCCTGAAGGCCCGCGCTGCCCACTGAGCTCACCGCACACGGAGCTGCCGTAGAAATCCCAGAAGCTGCTGGAGTCCTCGTCGCTGCGGCCCTGTAGGTCTTTCAGATAGTCTGCAGACAGAGAAAGCAGCTGCTGAGCGCCGGGTGCGGGGGGCTAGGGGACACCTCACCCCCAGGCCACCCAGGCCGCGTCCCCTCCCACACCCTCTGACCAGGGATGGGTGCCTCCTTGCCCAGCAAACAAAAGCAGCCGGGCAAGCTAAGAATTTTTCCACCCTCAGAGGCCAACATAAAGCTGGCACTTCCACTGGATTCCGTATGTTCTTTCCGAAACTAACTTGACATTGGTGACCCAGTAAGTCAAGGAGGGTGGCCCTCTGAGCGCGTGGCCTGGAGCGCAGGGAACCCCCCTCCCGGGGTTTGACGCCGCCACGTGACCTGGCCGTACCTGTTAAAAACCTTTCCATGAGTTCGCTGTGCGTCATCTTCATGATGGTTCTACCTGAGTACGTAGCCAAAGTGGGATCAGCACCATAGGAGAGCAGCAGGCGGACGATCGCCAGGTGGTCGTTCTCAACTGCATCGTGGAGGGGCCTGGGGGACACGGGCAGAGGGTCAGCTCCCGCCTCTAACCGTCCTCACAAGTGTGCTGCCGCTGACATTCCAGAGAGGGAAACTGAGGCAGGGACTGACCCAGGGTCAAGCGATGTGCCTATTTCTCAAATGCTAACGTACCTAGTCCCGGGCCTAAGGAGCAGCACAGGCAAAATGAAAACGTTATAAAAAAAAAAAAAGAGCCCGGCTGGCTGGCTCAGTGGGTGAGCGTTAACCTATGAATCAAAAGGTCACGGCTGGATTCCCGGTCAGGGCGCATGCCTGAGTTGTGAGCTCAGTCCCAGTGTGGGGCGTGCAGGAGGCAGCTGATCCATGATTCTCTCTCATCATTGGCATTTCTCTCTCTGTTTTCAATAAAACAAACAAATAATAACAAAAAAGCTTAGTCTGTTTTAAAAAAAAAAAAATCAACCGGAAGGTGCAGGGCCCTCCCACCAGTGTCCACGAATGGGGAATGCTGTTTGGAAACCGTAAACCACCGAACACATTTCGCTTTTGCTGCTGTCATCACCACCAGGAAGGCCTCGTGCCCCGCCTCCCAGCAGCACCCCAGGAACCAAGGTCAAGGACAGGGTGTGCGGGCTCTGGATGTGTGTGGCCCGGGCAGATCTTACACCAAGCCGGCGGCAGTGGCCCTGTCTGGATTCTGGGACTGTGGGCTCCAGGATATTTTAAATGGTGTCATTCAGTAGACGCTGATGAAAAGTATGGGGTCTTAAAGGGCAACACTCCAATTACTCAGGCAGACTCGACAGTTTCAACTTTTGTCCGTGGGAACATTGCAAACTTTGAAAGCTCTAGCTAAATTTGCCAGAAAGCTCTGGTGGATTCCACCATCAATGCGCTTCCAGGTCACTCGCCAGCTTTCCCTCGGGTTTCCCATGTGCCCAGAAAGATAAAGATACCACCTGTGCCCCGCAGGGCCAGGCCGACACCAAGCCCCGCAACTGACCTGGTTCCGTCCTGGGCACTGCAGTTGACGTCAGCACCGTATTCGAGAAGGTGTCGCACAATGTTCAGCCACCCCCTGGCACAGGCTTCATGCAGGGCACAGTATCCGGCATTGTCGCGGTGATTCACGTCACAAATCTTGTTCTCCAAGCAGTACAAGACCACCTCCTGTGGGAACGAGGGGACCACGTCACAGCGCCGCACAACGCACCTGGAAGTGGCCTCATGGGCAGTGCCCGCTTCCCATGGCACCCATCCTTGGGATGGAGACAGTGTCCCCTGGGTTCTGCAGGCTGGTGACTGTACATGAACCCAGCAGCCCGGCCCAGGGCAAGTGGCCCTTGAATTTCTCCCAGTGTCCACTTCCTCCTGAGACAGGAGCGTCACGGGGGCTCTCAGGCAGCGGGAGGACGCCACCGGCTAGCGGAGGCCTTAGTGGCCTGTCTGGTGGCCTGTCACCCGGGCTTTATTTGCTTGGCTGGGCCGGGACAGAGGTGTCCCCTTCTAATCTTAGATGACACATGGACAAGGACAGTCTACGGCGCACACGCTCCTGTTCGTATGTTGAACAGCGAGAGGGAAGCTCTGTCTGTGCGTCACGTGCGTCACCAAGAAATGACACAACATGCTTTGCACACACCCCTCCCCCACTCTGCCTCACCCTGAACCCCACTTGGGGCTGAATGATCAGCATTTTCCTGTTTACTTCAGCGAACACAGGGACTGATTAACACACGCTGGCCCTTTCTCAGAAGGGTGTTCTGTGTCAACAGCGGGCATCACAATTGCTGTATGATTTCTACTCTTTGGCGTGTTCACAGTCCTAGGACATGCTCCCAGCAGGCAGAGCAGCCTGCATTCCATGTTTCATTATCACTACCCTGACGAAGGGAGTTTTCAAACACACAAACATGCCTGACTCTTTTCCTGCCTGCCACGCCCAGCAGATGGCCCGACGCATGCTCCACCGGTTGGGGGAGCCGCGTGGGTCACGGCAGGCCTCTCCATGACAACTCTCCTATGTCCTTTCCCGGACATGTCAATCAAAGGTGACCCACCACTTGGGAGCTGACCAGAATGTTCCACATGAGAAGCGAAGGCTGCGTGCTGGCGAACGCGGCCCGCGGTGCCCGGTGGCTGCAGGTCAGTGCGGCAGCTCCCTTCCAAAAACAAGAGGAAGGGACGAGGCATGCCCACAAACGCGCTCTCCCTTCAGATCCTAACCTGCCAGCAAGCCCACAATGCTCTGGGCTCCCAGGCCACCTGCCCCGAGCCCCGGTATCCAGGATACCGCATGAAGCTGCTGCTCTTTTAGCAGGTCCTCCCCAGCCAGGCAGGAGCGGACGGCTGCAAGCTAATGAGCTGTGTGCCCCGCCGGGGAGAGGCCCCGTCACGTGGTCTGGGATCAGGTCTGAGCGCCACTGACTGCTGTGCACAGATCAATTTCCCCGGGGCCCAGTGGCCTGTCTGGTGGCCTGTCACCCGGGCTTTATTTGCTCTGACAATTATGGCCCTCACCTGGAAACCCTCGTCGCTGCCAGGGCTGATCGGAGGGCACCCAGAAATGAAAGGGCAGCGGAGCCGACGGGCAAGTCAACTCCTTCCCGGGAGGGTGGCAGGCGGCAGCAGTCACCCACAGCCAGGCCAGCCGTTTTGCCACGGGCTGTCCTAACACAGCCACGTGGCTGTCGCTATGTACACAGCACTGCCGGCCTCCCCAAATGAGCATGCCGTCTGTTGTCCCATTACATGCCACAGTAACCCATGATGTGCCAGGACGGTGGCACTGTTCTCATTCAACACTGGGGGAAACCGAAGTCCAGAGAAGTTAAACCCCAAGTTCAATGAACACGCAGTCCTGGAGCTAGAACTTGGGGCTTCTGGGAAGATTCAAAAGGCCGAGAGGGCGCCAGGGAGAGGGTCGCAACCCGGCGTGACGAGCACCCGCAGGCCCTCTGTCGGGGTCAAGTGGGCTGACTACCTTCTCCCGGCTGGGAGGGCACCGGCCTCTAAATGGATGGCAAGCGCCGTCACCAACAGCGGCAGGAATGGCTAAGAGGCCGGCCAAACCTGTCCACCCAACACGTTTCCTGGTTTATTTTCTGCCCTGGAAATGGGAGCGCTCACTGGGCAACCCACCCGTTCCCAAACAAAATCCCGCTGTTTTCGTTGGACAGTTCTGTGTGAAGCGGCTATAAGCCCAATGCCATTAACCACAAAATGTAACCATAAAGGCCATAAACCCGACATTGTTAATTAATTAAATGCCTCATTAACTTTTTAAAAAACATGATTTATTCAATTCATAGAAAATGTAGCCATCACCACATTGGCCTTTTAGCCCAAGAACCAGAAGCCCGGCCCGGGAGGGGAGGTCTGGGCGCCTCTGGCCTCGCTCGCCGTCTGTTAACACGGAGGGTGTTTCCCAACCTCAGGAGGTGGCTTAGCGGGACGTAAAGCTCGGCGGCCTCTGACTGGCACTTCGGCAGACAGCGAGGACGCAAAGACCACCTCCAGGAAAGCCCTCCCTGCCCTGGGCGTCCGGCGACACCTCTGCTGGGTTAAGCAAATTGTCCTGCCACTTTCAAAGGTCCCATTGCCACATCTCTCGACCAGTTGCCGTCCTGACGTCAATTCTGCCTAAAGAAATCCTCGAAAGTTGGGTTCAAAGTTGAAATCGCTCACCCAGAGGTGAAATGTTCAACCAAAAGCAGAGACCTGTGCGATTTACTTATCAGAGCAGCTGCCCTAGGTCTCAGGAGCCACCAAAGGCCCAGTAGCCCCAAAAGCATGGTCGCCCAACTGGCTCATCAAAACCCAAACGGAATCTTCATGGAGGGACCAACAAGGGCCTCCTGAGGTCTCTGGTCCCAAAGGAAACTAGTAGGAACAATGCCAAGACCTGAGGTAAGATCAGGAACCCCAAAATCCACACACATGAAGCAGCTGTCCTTCTGCCTCCCCTCCCCCACCCCCAGTGTGTGCTGGAGACACAAGTCCATTTTCTGAACCACGGACGTGTTGACGAAAACACAGCACATACAACCAACAATGAAGAAAGCACCATTTCCAAAGCTTCCCCCACAGTCACGCCTCAGGGGGCCCAGGGCCCAGGCAGCCCACCAGGGAGGGCAGGCTCCCGCGCCTTGGGAGCCGGGCTGCGGGAGCCAGAACTGCAGATAAACCCTGCGGCCCTCAGCCACCAGGGCCTGCCACCGGAGCTGATCCACGCCTCCTCTCGCAGCTTGCTGAGCCGCATTTTATTTTCCCCATTCAACTCCCAGAGGGCTGATGCCAGCATAAAAAAATGCCTTTGCCCTGTGGGCTATTACTTCACAATTTCAACTGACAGGCGTGGTGGGGGAGCCGCTGGGGCAGAGGGACTCATCTATCTCCCAGAGGTTAGCTGTGCAAAGGGCAATTCCAGTGCGAGCCCAGCCGGCCTGGAGTGAGGGCTGGGGGAGGGGCGGGCGGCGGGGGAGGGGCCGGGCTCCGGAGCCAGACTGGGGGCTCGCTCGCTACCTGTACAAGCTGTCATTTAACCCCTGTGGGGCTGTTTCCTCATCTGAGAGCCGGATAACATTAGCGATCGCCACGGGAAGAGGCGGCGAGGGGGAAATGAGTGACTCCGGGTCATACGAGCTTAGAAACCCGGACAATATCTTGCTTTGTGTGCTGCTACAGCGAGAGAGGGCATGCCAGATGGGGATGCGGGGTGAGGGCAGGGACTTTGGGGCAAAACCTGAGTTCCCCTCATCCTCAGCCCTTGGATTCTCTGTCCTGCTCAGAAAGAGGGCTCCGGCCTGCCCCACCCCCTACCTGCACAGACATTTCCTACCCGCAACCAAAACAGAGCCAGCCACTCCTCTCCCCCTTGCTAATCAGAATCCAAAGGGCTCATTAAAATTCCCCCAGTCGCCAAGCCCTGGGTTATGTCAGATTTCATATCAGAGATAAGTGAGCGGGATGGAAGGATGCCAGGCCTGCGTGCCTGGACACGGAGCGAACATCACAGGCCTCCCTTTTCACACAGCCACGGAGCAGGCCACCGGAGAGCCTGCAGGAGCCGGCGACTCCGACATCCTCAGGCCACCCCAACTGGCGCCGCTCCCCTCCCGCTCCCCGTCCCCCGCCGTCCGGGGCAGCAGCTGGGGGTTGGGGAACCCAGAGCCCCAGGACACTGACCTCGTAGCCCAGGCGGGCCGCGCGCTGCAGGAGGGTCTCGCCCGCGTTCTTATTGACAATAAGTCTCCGCGCCTCGGGGGGCATGGGGCGCGACTGCGTGGCCTCGGGAGGGGAGCTGGAGCGGGGCAGCTGGGCGGACTGCGTCGCCGGCAGCAGCTGTTGCAAACGGTCAAAGGGCTTCTGGTCCTGCTTGGCCGGGGACAGATCGTAGTCGGAACTGGACTCGGGCCGCTTTCGGACTCTCCTGACGGTCACCTGTCACAGAAGCAGCAGCACACACGTGTAAGGCAGGCAGGAGGCGGGCCATTTCTCGCTTTTGTTTGGGGGAGGGGGGAGGGGGGCAGGGGTTTGGAACTTCACTAGCACCCAGAACACATGCCCCCCGCGATGGGGGAGTGACCTGGGAACGGGAAGGCTTTGTCCCCCAGGCCCCGGGTCGGCGAGCGGCGGAGGTACCTTGCCATCACTATTGTCCACGTAGTAGTCCCCGGGCACCGGCAGGCTGCGGCGCGGCTCTTGGGGCATCAGGTGCTTGGTCTTGCACAGCCTCTTCCCCGACGGCTTCTCGCCGCCGTCGGTGTACTTGTGCAGCAGCGCGGCCTGGCAGTCCTCCTCCTCGTCCGTGCACAGCACATCTGTCTTCGGGTTTTCTTTAATTTTCGGGTGTTTGGCAGGCGGCCTCGAGGCTGGCGTGCAGCTTGGCTGAGCCTGCCTTTTGCCGCTCGCATTGGTGGATGAAAGGCCCTTCATGGGCGGAGAGCCCGCGAACACAGGCAGACCTGGATCGGCGGGGGAGAGGGGGGAGAGGCGGGCGTTACGGAGCGGCAGCCGGTGCGGAGAAGCCCATTGTTAGCGCCCCTCGCTAGAGCGGCTGGAGCGGCTTCGGCTCTTAAAGATACACCAATTCCGCTCTCAAAGCATTAATATTTTAATTAGCCCGCATCCAGCCGTCAGACAGGTTAACCCACAAAACACTGGTCTCACCAGGGGCAGGGACCAAAGGGCAGAAGCCCGCTCTGGGGGGCGCTCTGCCTCCCACCCCATGGGGCCTGGGGACCCACAACTCCCCAAGGAGGGCCAATCTGGGTGCTCAGGACCCGGCGGCCACCCAGACTCAGCATGGGGGCTGAAGGACGTCAGAAAAGCACCCCCTGCCTGCCGCCACCTCTAGGGCCCTTCCCCCTCCCGGAGCGGGAGGCCGGGCCAGGGCCTCTGCTTACCTTGCTCATTGTCACTGGACGTGAGGGCCTCCTCCGCCCAGCTCCTGTTGCCTTTGGTCTCTGCCCTTTTCCTGCCGGGCTTCTCTTCGGAGAGGCTATTGCCCTGGGCAGTGGCCTCAGGCTGAGTGGCCTGGGTCACTTCCTTCCTGCCCTGCCGGCCAGGTTTGCTCTCAGCTGCCGACACCTGCTGCTCCCACTGTTCTCTAAGGTGCAGCAAGTGGCGTTGCTTTTTAGGATGCAGCCCTGTTAATTCAATGCACACCTTCAGGTTGGTCAGCTCATTAGAGGAACTGTTTGTCATTTCCCTCTCAGGCCAGTCATCTAATGGAGAAATAACTACAAATTAATCAAAAAGCCCCCCGGAAGGGGGAACCAACTGTCTTACCCATCCCTACCGGGGAGTGGGGGAGGGGAGGGGGGGCTAGCTCTGCCTCTGGCTTCAGGGGAGGGGGTATGAGCGGGTTCCCCAGGGCTCTAGGGCAGCGCCAGAAGCATCCACTGCACCACCCCGGGCCGCCCAGGGCCGCTAGGCAGGCGGCCGCCGCCCGCGCTCACCTTTGGAGATCCGCCTGCGCTTGGCTTTCAGCAGCGGGTCCTCCGACAGCTCCTCTCCGGGGGCCTCGGCGAGGGTGCTGTCACCCGAGGCCTTGCGCTTCCTGTCCAGCTGCAGGGCGGGGCTGCCCGGCACGTCGGCGGCTGCCTGCTCGCTGAGGGGCTCGCCCAAGGTAGGCCTGTCCACGAAGTACGACTCCAGGGACAGGTCCTTGCTCTCCGGGGGCTCGAAGGGGTCGTGTTTGTTGCCAACACCGTATTCACCTGGGGGAGAGGGGACAGTGACACGGAAATGAAGGCCCCAAGGTCACCGCAACAAAGCAGGACTGGGGAGCGGGCAGGCCCTCCGTGACCTGAAAGGGGGCACGTGATGAAAGAGCCCCCGCCTGCTACATCCCAGATGGTGATCAGGGTCTTTTCTCCCAGAGGGTGGGTGATCCCAAAGCAACATCCAGCCAGGCCCTGGTCACCCCTCTCCAGCTAACGGGAGAATGTGAAGGAAGAGGGATGGCGGAGTGATGGGGACCAGGGAGGCTGGGAGACCAAGGGTACTGGGAGGAGGAGTGTGGCTCACACAGGGTCAAGTTCAATGTCAAGGAACTCAACCTGATCCCTCACCTCTGTTCTCTCACACAAGGAGCTGCTCCCATGTGCTGTGCAGAAGGAAATCTAAGCCGCTCCCCCCTCCCCCCAGCCTGGCCCTCAGCAATGCCATGCACACACACAGGACGGAGTCGCCCCACTGGCACTCCTCCGTGGCATCCCTCACAGGCAGGCATCTAGGACCTCCCCAAGGCAGGATGACACCCCTTTCTCCGCAGGTCCCCCCTCTGCACTCAAGGCCCGCGCTGGCTGACCCGCTCACTGCTCTTTATGCTCCACGTGGCGCCCACTTAGGGCCTCCCTACGAGTGCTCCCCCCAATGGACCTGCGTGTCACCCAGAGAAGGAGTGCGCTGATTAACAGAGCTAATCACACCATCCAGATCCATTTCCGGGCAAAATCAACACACTCCTCACACGGTGACAGCTTCCAATGTCACCCCATGCTGACCAGCCTGCCAGTCCGCCGCTCAGCCTTCTCTCGGGGGCATTCCCGGGGTTCCGTGGCAGTCAGCTGTGGGGACAAGTGTCATCCTGGCCTTGGCTAGCCTGGGCTCCTAATGCCGGGCCCCGTAGGTGGGCAGTGGGAGCAGCGTCCCCACACACAGCTGGCAGCGCCGGGGAGCCACAGTGCGCCCCTTTCTCTGGGCTCCGACTCTCTGCTCCGTGACCCTCGCCGCCGCCGCAGTAACGGCCGCTTTACAGCCGCCCCTCGGCTGTAAAGCGGGGACATTACCGCAGCCGCCTCCCGGGTGAGCGCCATAAACAGCCCCGCAACGGGGCCGCCGGAGAAACGGCGCTGACAAAAGGACACCAGGCCTCTCCGACCAGGTGGCACTGCGCCCCAGAGGCACGACATTTAAGGACATGAGCCTCCAGTCACACCATTCCACTTTGCCGTCCGCTCCTGGGGACCGTGGGAAACTGAGGGTTTTCCTCTCCGCCACCGCGTCCAGTTCCAAAGCGTGCTACTCCCTCCCCCACTTCAGATAAGAAGGATGTTCAAACCAGGTGGCTGGGAGGCAGAGGTGACAGGGTGATGACACACGCCTTTCAAGGCCACGGCCAGGCAGCGGCTTGGCCTGAATGGCCCTGCCCAGAATGGGGTGCTCTGGCCGTCGCCCCGCCCACTCCTGCCCTGGCCCCTGAGCAGACTGAGAGCCACTCCACACTCGACCTTTCCACTCCCCACTCCCCTGCAGAGGCGCCTTTTCTCATGGAGCTGCTTTCCCACATCGTCACCCTCCCGGCCACTTCCTACAGCGCGGTGACAACCACTGCTCAGACCTGGCCTCTGGCCGCAGGGCCAGCCTTGGCCGCCACAGACAAGCGCCCGGAGGCCTTGCAATGACTTATTTCCCGCGTCAGAGGCAGTGACCGGGGCCCTTTCTCCCTGCTCTTCCCTGGACAAGAGCCCCTGCCAGGCAAGCCTGTCCTGCCCGGCCTCCCGCAGGCTGCCCAGCTGGTCAGAGGGAGCCCCTTAGGCCCCAGGATGGGCAGCCAGCTTCGCACACACCTGCCATCCCCGCACGGCCAGGCCACTCTGGCTCTGGCCCCAGGGGCCCTGCAGGAACCCCATTCCTAAAGCGGGGCACACTGACACACACACACACACACACACACACACACACACACACACACAAACTTTAGTTGCTTTCTTCACCATTTTGTACAAGGATCTTTCCCCAAACTAAGCGCATCCACCCTTCCCCATCCCCTAGGCCTCTCTTGGGCAAAGAGCCCAATTCCCCGCGGACTCCAAGACCTCACTCGGGCCAGGAATAACCCGCAGGACGCCCCGACCGCTGACACACGCATGGCTACCAGCTCGGGCCGAGGCTCAGGTCGCATTCCTGCGCGCCGCCTCGGAGCTCCGACACGGGCCTCCGTGACCACAAGCCACAGGCGCCCTGGAGGGCAGGGAGATGGCAGATAGCTGCTCTTGGCCCTTCGACAAGTGGGAAGCCATGAGCGCTCGGCCACTGGGTGTCAAGCAGATGTGATGTGGCCGTGTTGTTTGTGGTTTCACACTTATTTCATCCCTGCAGCCTGGTCATATGACTCAGCACATACATCCCATAATTTATCATTGTTATGCCATAGCATTATTTCGCAGCAGCATTGCCATGGCAACATTTACAAGTCACCGTGGCAACAAAGCACCCTCACCACTGGTGAGCCAGGCCCAGCGAGCCCTGCACAAGGTGGGAAGGCAGCCCCAGCGGAGGCTCAGCTAACACACCGTCTGCAGGGGAGACCTGCCGCCTCTGCTCCCAACTCAGAGCAGTTCCCGGGACTCGCAGGTGCGCGGCCAGGCGACAAGTTTCCCAGCAAGAAGTTCCGGGAAGCCCTCTGACCCCGCCTCCTCCCGTTCCTGCCCAGGCGCTGCCACTGAGCAGGACCCGGGGCGCGTCAGCCGAAGGGCTGGCTGAGGAGACGTCATTCCACATTCGCGGCGAGATGGACGTACGCCTCCCGCCCTCCCCCCCATCTTCCAAATGCCACTGATGGTTTCTATTCACAAGCGTCCAAGGCTGAGGAGCCTCCTGACTCATCGGTTGAACGTCTAAAATCAAAGCCTCACTCAGCCACCTCCCTCGCAAAGAATGAGCGCAAATCCTGGCCATTGTGTTTCAAGTTCATTCACCTTCCCTGAGCCAGCTGCATCCGCCATCTTAGAAGCTCCTGCACCCCCTTTCTGACCTCTGCCTGCTCTCAGCCACAGCGCTCTCAGGAGAACCAATGGGGGTGGGGTGGGTGAGGGACCAAGCCCCACATGGGCTCAAGCCGTAAGAAGGCCCATAAGGCCCATTCACGTGCAGCTGAAGGAACCCAGCCCCTGCCTCTCTCTTTAAAACTGAGCCGCTTGCCCTCCCCAACCTTTTCCCTGTCCCCAGGGGCCATTCCCTCTCTTCCCAGCCTCCCTCGCCATCCACCCAGAGGGCTTCTCCCTGATAGGTGCTTTTCCTTCTTCACAGAAGCACCTGCCCGCCAGCCGGCCTGGCCCACTTGCACCAGGAACAGGGACACCTTCACTTCAGAGCATCTGGAGCCCCTGCATCAGGTAAGGCCCTGACCAGCCTGCAGTGCCCTTCTCCTGGACAGAGGTAGGACACATTGGTCCTGGCATGGCCTCCTCAGAACCCTGGCCACAGGCGGCTGCTGGCCACAAATCCTTCCAAACCCCGACAGGCACCGACGACCCAAGCGTGCGGAGGAATGGCAAGCCTATGACATTTAATGGCACAGAGCTCCCACCACACCCACCATCCCGGACTACCCTGTCTTGGGGGAGGGGAGGATTTCGCATCCACTCTTTCAAAATGCCCCAATTCCCCATCACCGACACATTGGGCAGAGAAGTCACGTGAGCAAACCCCAAAGGCCTTCGCAGCAGGGGACCAGCTGTTGGGACTGAAAAATGGTGTCCTTGGATTGCACTGTCGCCTCTCACTTGCTCATCCCAAGTCCTCTCTATTCCAGACCAGACTGTCCCTGCGGTGGCCGGAGCCACCTCTGGCTACAAGTATCCTTCCGCTGCTACAAAAAAGAACGTACATGCGCCACTCCTTACACTCCGTCTCTGGCTGCCGTTCCTCTGCTATATTGTACTAGACTGCGACTGACTACAGAAAACAATCTTCCAGAGGCGCCTGTTCCTGGCCGCCACAGTGCTCAAAGGCTCACTACACAGTCCCCCACATAAGCCACTCGGGGTCACTTACATCTCTCACTGTCATTCTGGTCAGCAATGGCCTCCTCCAGGGCGACCAACTTTGGCTTTTTGTCCTGATTTCCTTTCAGGCTCTCCCACTCGGCAGGGCTGAACTTGCACACCTCGGAGTCTTTGGTTGCTGGGTGGCCACCTTCTCTCTCTTTCATCTCCAACTCTGAGAAGCGCATCATTGCACGCTAGAAAGAGAACGAAGATGGAGAAAAAACAACACCTTACCATAAGAGCTATTTCATTTGCCTTACCTTAAAGGAAAGTATTTTCAAAGAAAAGTTTGCCCAAAACCAACCACAATTTATGATACAACTGAGATATTTTAAAATTTAACAGATAAAAATTTAAGAGGATCTATATGTAAGTAGTCACACATTCTTTATTCATAAAGCCATATGTATAGATACGTATGCACTGTGTATGTATATCCATACATACACGATTGCACAGAGACAGACATTCTCTCTTGAAGGTAAATAAAACAGAACAAAAACACAACGCAAAGAAAACAAAACAAAAACACAACAGAAAAGAAAAAGTGCACAATGAATAAAGACGACCATGGCCCACAAACTTCCCTTGGTATTTGGAAATGAAATTTAACTCAAAAGGTTTATGGAAGATTCTAGTAATAAAAATTTGAAGAACTGACCTCACAGTAAGCAGCGGGTAGACATAAAATACTGTCCTCTTGTAATCCTTCCATCTATGTAATTAAAATGGGCACTCAATGGATCATTTAGATAACTTCATCCATTTTTATAAGCATAAACTAAATTTTTTCTCTTAACATTGCAAAAAACAATTTGGCTTTATTTATCTTTTAATTAAAAGTAAAATATCTTAAGGAAATTCCTATACAACATCTATCATTCACTAGCAAGTTAAACACATCCTCTATCCCTTTAAGCCAGCTTTTCTTTTTTTGTGAAAAAAATTGCACGAATCCCACAGACATGCGGCTGCTGCACCTCCACCGAGTAGCGCGTAAGGCATTCTAAGCAGCGCTTCTAGGCATATTCGTTAAACGTACAGTAACGGCAGAGAAATTAAAGCAACTGATAGGCAAACGTCATGCAGTCTCAATCATTAACTCCCTTTATCAGCATTCGAGTGGAGTTCTTAAAATCTACAGAATAACTTAAAACAGCCAGGCACGCGAACTCCTCAGGGCCACCCCTCACGTCCCCTTACTGGCCGCCTTTCCTACATTTAATTACCATAATCCATAACCACTCCTGCCCTCCCAGGCCCCCGTCCCTGTACACATTAACAAGCTGACAACTGGGCAGTCACTGGGATTTGGGGGTGGAGCTCACCTGCAGGGCCCGCTGCTCCCGGCTCAGCTGGCTGGAATCTGCATACAGTTCGGTGGTGACACACTTGAACCTGTCACCCACGTAACCGGCGGAGTTGGCGATTCTCTTGGCCAGCTTCGATGGCTTCGGCTTCAGCACTTTGCCATCTGCTTCTGCCTCATCAGCTCCATCTTTGGTATAGATGGGGGTGACGTCCACACTGGGTGGGGCACCGCCCACACAAAACGGTTTGGGGTCTTCTTGGGTTTTACCGAAAGTTACAGCGGGGCCCTCGCTCCCCAGGGTAGGGTCCAGGAACGAGGTGGAGACCGGCCCCCCCAGGCTCTCCTTGGTGCCCGCTGCAGGGCTCTCCTTGCCCAAGCCGAAGACGGACTGGCCCGCGGCCTGCTTGAAGCCATAGGCCTCGTGGAAGTCACCGATGCGGCCCAGCTCCTCTCTCAGGGCCAGGAAGTCGCGGTGCGACTGCAGGGCCGGGTCGGCCGGGGGCTTGGCGGGCTCGGCGGCCTGGCCGATGCCGTCGCCTGCAAAGGCGGCTTTGGACACGCTTGTGTCAGGCTTAGTGTCTGCCTCTTCCCGGAGGAGGTCCACGTAGACGGGCTTGTCGCTCTTGATGACAGTTTTGCTCTGACTCCAGCTGGGGCTGGGCTTCGGGGTCTTGTCGGTGGGAACGTCGGGGTGTAACTTGGCGCTGCTGGCTTCCAGCACGTCGGAGAAGCGGCTGCGGAGGGTCGGGTCCTCGTAGCGGCTTCTCTCGTGGGACCGGGACCTCCTCTCCGGCTTCTCCTCCTTGGCGATCTCTATGGGCGTGTGAGGGATGAGCATGGGGTGCACCATGCCCAGCCCCAGCGCGTCCTGGTAGGTCACAAACTCCGGCCGGCCGGTGGGCAGCCCGTAGGGGAGGCCGGGCTTGGGGGCCAGGTGCCCGGGAAAGAGACTGCCGTTGGGCAGCAGAACCGGGTGAGGGTACACGGGTCCCTTGCCGTGTAAGGAGAGGGGGCTGATAGCGATGCCCTCGGGCGCCGGGTAGGGGAGGTAGCTCCTGGGGTAGGGGATGGGGGGGGACCTGAACGCCTCGTTTGGAGAGAGGAAGATGGAGCTGGACGGGAGGCCGTTCTCGCTCGCTTTGAAGCTCGAGTCTGGGTTGCTGGCTTTGACGCCCTTGCCGTTGGCCCCGCTGTGCTTGGCGGGCGTGCTCTGAGGCTGGCCCACGTGCTGGATGACGGACGGCGTGGTGTCCACGGAGCTCCTGCTGGTCTTGCTGCCATCGGCATTGGCATTGGCATTGGGGGCCGGCGACGCGGAGGCCGGGCGGCCTGCGCTGGACACTGCCCCCGACACGTTGGTGACCACGGTGTCCGTGCCACCCATGCGAGGGCACGAGGAGCTGCGCTGCTGAGGGATGGCCCAGTCCAGCGCCTTGTTTTTGAGCGACAGCCCCTTGCCGCCGCTCTCCTCGTTGGGGCTGGGTCCGGGCACCACCCAGGACGAGGGCGCCGTGCTGATGATCTCGGATCTGTAGAGGGCACAGCCGCCCCCCGGCGGGGACAAGGTCTCCTTGGGCATGTCGCCCCCCGCCAGCACCAGGCCGCTCGCGGCTCTGCTGTGGACCAGCACCGTGGGCGTCATCTTCTTCATGTGCTCGGCCTTGGACGCATCCGCGTCCACCACCTTCGACGACAAGTCCAGCGGCTTATCGGTGACGTCTTTGGTAATGGTCTGCTTCTCCAGGAGAGGCGGGGAGCCCCCGTCTTTCCTGTCCTGGGCCGCTGTTTTCCGGGTGTGCCCGGGCACCGGCTGCGCGCTGTCGGCCCCCTCTGCCGCCTTCTGGTACTTGGAGAGCCTGCCCACAGGGAAGTCTCCACTGACTGTCATGTATGGCTTGGACAGGGCGATGGAGGGAGACGTGGAGATCCGGGCATAGTGCTTGTGGAACTCCGCGTAGTCCACCGCGGGCTGCGAGGGCAGGTGGCCTCGGGGCGACGGCCGCGGCGAGGGCGGCAGCAGGAGCGCCGCATCCCCGGGCAGGCCGCTGCTGACCGGCTTGGCGGACGGCACCCGGGGCTGCTTGCTGTTCTGGATGTGGGGGTAGGCGTGGGAATCGATGGGGTTCCCGGGGTTGACCCCCATCTTCCAGGACAGGCTCTTGTCGGCGGTGCAGTGGACCAGCGGGGGGATGGCCGGGGAGGCCGAGGGCGTGGAGAGCCGCATGGGCGACGCCAGGGACGAGGGGATGTGGGGGCTGACGTAGTGGGGCGGCGGCAGGTAGAGGAAGCGCTCCCCGTTGGTGCAGACCGGGGAGTAGAGCGGCTGGGCCAGGCTGTAGGACTGCTGAGGTAGCAAGGCCTTGTACATGTTCAGGGGGTACTTGTTGGGCGAGTCCAGGAAGGGGTAGATGGCTGACGTGGCCCCCTCCATGTAGGGGTTGACCCAGGGCAGCCGCAGGTAGCTAGCACCGTTGATGTTGAGAGGGCTCTGCTTGTCGCCTGCCGGCCTGTCCAAGCCCAGGGCCTCCGCGGGGGGCACGGCGCCCTTTTGTATTCCGGGGGGCGTCTTGTAGATGGCGCTGAAGCCATTGGGGGCTTTTCCTGAGACGGCGGAGGCCTCCACCGTCTCGGGGGTGTTGGGCTTGAACTGCACCTCTGGGTTTCTTTCGGAAGAAAACCCAAGCCCGCTGAGGGAGCTGGTGGCGGCCTCCCGGCCCTTCTCGGAGCCCAGACCGCACAGGCTGGAGTACACGATGTTGCCTGGGACCCGCAGCCCTTCCCGAATGAGGCCCGTGCGGTCCATGCTCAGCGCCGTCAGGCCATCGATCCGATGGGCAGTGGTCGCGTCCACCTTGGCGGAAGAACACGGCGTTACTGAGACATTCCTCTGAGCACCCCGAACATCCCCACGAGAGACAGCTCAGTAACGCGCCAGACGCCTCACGTCTGAGCAGGAAGGGGCGGGGGTTCCAGGGTCTGCTGCCCCCTCCTCCCTCATCCAGAACCCTCTGCTGCCAGTTCCACTAGGATCCTGAAAGCCCAGCAAATGGCCATCCCTTTAGACTCGAGGCCCACACATGACCAGTCACCTATTAACGCTGAAAAATTCACCTTCTCAGCAAAAAAACACGCTGCCGCATGAGACGCACTAACGTGGGCCACGCCTCTCAGCGCCTTCACGGGGTCCAGAACTCAGACTAACCCTCCAGGGCCTGCTGGGTGGGGGCGGGGCCGTGTTCACTGGGTCTTTCCTGGATGCTATTTAACATAACAAGAAACAATCTTCAGCGGAGGGCTTTCCATGTCTCATTTCTAAATCAATAAAGAGGCCAGGGGCCAAACTGCGGTTGCATCTTTTGACTTCCTCTCCCTGGTGTCTGAGAAGCTCGCGCGTCTCCCGTTTTACTGGAAACGGAAACCCCGAGGATCTACTGGGAGGCTGGCAATCTCTGCGTCCGGGAGACTGAGGCGGCATGCAGCTTAGGGAGGGGAGGCAGCACGCTTCCCCCCGGGCTCCGGGACGTGGGCATGGATGGCAAGCATGCGCAAGGGGCGCTCGGCCACGGACCCGAGGGGAGAAGAGATGAGGCGAGGGCCTGGTCCTACGGCTCACAGAGGCTTTCTGCTCAGCCCTGCCCTGCAACACCAGGCTCCACCCCCACCCAGCCCTGTAATGGTATGCAAATGAATGCACGATTGATTACAGATCACTGCGACTCAGATAGCACATGAACAGAAGCCATTCATCTCTTACCACGTTGTGGTTCAAGGGATTTTCTTCCCTCAGTTCCAGTCTGGCCTTTGAAGCGTCACCGTCATTTACAGGAATTTTCCTATGTGAAAGGACACAGACTTCATGAGAGCGTTCCTCCCTGGAGCCACCGCTCACAGAGCACCCCGGAAAAGACCGGTTCCTAAGAACCCCATTGTTTTCCAGCTGCCCTTAACGCACTCCTCCCCCGGCCCCCTCGGCAAGTTGTCCCCAAATGGTGATGGAACTGGAGGGGAAGACAAAGGGGGATGACAGGGATGTGAGATCACAAACGTGGCCCGAGGTGGGTGAGCGGAAAATCACGCACAGCCATTCTTCCAGCACAATCATCTCTCCGGAGCTGCCAGCCAGGCCAGCCTGGGCTCTGCCGTCTGCCGTCCCTTACACAGGGGCAGGCTCTCAGAACTTTTCCCTAAAGTTAGGTCCCATGTCCTCCCTAACTGGTTTCCATGGTGATAATGAAGCCATGTTTGCTTGCCGGGGTGCAAACGACGAGGGATAAACACTAATATCACACAAATGTCAACTGCTCCCGGCTCCCGAGGAAGGCCCGTGCCTGTGCCAGGCTGCAGAGGCTGCCCTGGGGCCTGTTATCAGGGAGCATCGATAAAGCAGGCGCCCGGTGCCAACTTCCTAATCCCCAGGACAGAACCGCTGACAGGCAGCAGGGCAGCTTCATCGCTACCCTGAAAAGCAGCTTCGATCATCCGCTCAGATGTCTCTAACCCACACCCCGAAATCACTAATCAGGAAGCTGACAGAGCCGTCAGCTGACCGAACCCAGGAGCCAGCAGCCCCGCTGAGGGGGCCGCACCGGACGCCGGGAGACGCTGAGCTTAGCTGGAGCGAAGGGTGGCCATCTCCCCGGTTATTACTGAGCAAACTATTTGTTTTAAAAGCACATCGAATGCCGCTCCACCTGGGCCCACACTCCTGACATTTCGAGTTAAAGCAGCATATACACTGGGCTTAATTCTCCTTCATAAATATGAAGTAATAAATTAAGAACGAAAGTGCACCGAAAGGCTGCTTTAGGGGCTAATCTTTTAAAGGGCGGCGATGCTTCGCTGAGCGGGGTTGCCTGTTAAAACTGTAAATCAAGGGCCGTCAGCGAAGCAGAGCTCCCCCCAAGCCTCCGGGCCCGCAGTGGCTGTGAGGGCGAGGCCGGGGCTGCCGGGGCACAGGGACCGGCGGCTGCCCAGCCTCCGGGCCTCCCCGCCCCGCAGTGGACGCGGGCGCTCACCTGTCCTCGTTGATCCCGCACATGCGGACCCGCTCGCTGCTCATCCAGCTGTGCACGTTCCCATACAGGGGGGTTGCAGAAAGCATGTCGTCTCCTTGGATGGCAGCTTCTTTCAGGCGTCTAGTCTGTTTAAAACAAAACAAAACACAATCCCAGGAGGGTGAGTAAAGAGCCAAATAGGAAACGAGAGAAGCCCTCATTCTAGGCAATCCCCGCAGAGAGCGGGCTGGGGAGGCGGCTGGTGGCGGGTGGCACACACCACGCCCAAGGATCCGGGGCGACAAGAGGGAGACAAGAGGGTAACGGCTCTGCCTCACCCATCCAGGGTGGAGCCCCTGCGGCCCGCAGGCTGGCCTCCCCGGCCTCTGGCTCAGGGCAGGCAGCGGGCACAGCAACCAGGGAGGCCCACGCGGGCCGTGTGCCGGGAGTGCAACTCCCAGTTCAGGGCCTAAAGAGTTGGGGGGCTGGTGGCCCACGCCACCCCAACCCTAGATTAGATTAAGCACCGAACCCGGGTGGTTTGGCCGGCGAGCTGCAGGGGGAGGCGGCTGAGTAATTCAATGACGCCTGCTGCTCGCTGGGGACACAAATCATTAGCGAGCGAGCGCACAGGTCTTAGCAGCCCAGACTGCCGGGCTGCAAGCCGCTGGCACCCCGGGAGCAGCCAAAGCCACCCATTTTCCACCTCCTGGGAAGGGACGGCTGCCAGACAGGGGGTGGGGGGGCACCTCTTCCCACCCCCACCTCCTTACCTCCTCAGCCCCGCCCCCGCCCCCACCCCAGCATATTCTAGTTTGCTGCATGAGTGAAGGGTCAGGACAAGCTGCATTTTATTAACAGGATTATCACGGCGCGTGATTTATCCTCGTGCAGGATTTTAATTGCTCTTCGGAGGTTGAGCCGTTTCTTTTGACTGCGCTTCAGCCCATATCCTGCTGTTAAATGCTGGGTTAATAAGTAGGGGAGCCTTTAATGCCTGGGACCGATGGCCCTGGGCAATTCCCTGATCACAATCACATCCCGGCTCTCCCGTCAGGGCAGGCGCCGCAGCTCTTCCCCAGCCCCAGCCCGGGATCACCGGCGCGAAGGCCAACGGGGAACTTTTCTGCCTCCTTCTCCCTCACACACCCACCCACACAGTTTCCGAAAGCCCAAATGTTCCCTAAGTCGACACATTTCCTTTGTTAGCAGGAAAAAATATGCAAATGATCATTTTTTACACTTTAGCGCATAAAGCCTGCCGGGATAGGGGCACCGGGTCCGCATCTTTTCAGAGTCGCAGAGGGTGGGGGTGGGGAGCACCAGGGAGGCCTGCATCCAAATGCCAGGCTGTCCTTGGGCATTTCTTTGTCCCCACGAGGCCTTTTGTCCACCAGCAGAGCCCCACCAGCCCCTAGACGTACAGCACGGTCTGGCCATGGAGAGCCACGAGCGTGGGCACAAGGCAGAGTTCAGTGTGAAGGCGGCAGGCCTGGCGGGGTCCTGTGAGGGGGCCTTCCCCTAGGAAGCATCTTTCTTCCTAGATGGGGAGCCTCTGAAGCACAAACCATGCGCGCCCCATGCCCCCCAAAGAGTGGACTCAGGTGCTAAGGAAGGGCCTGCAGAGGCGCATGGGCTTTTGGTCCAAAGACACAAATGGAGCCGGGAGAGGCAACCACCTATGCTGGGCCAGCCACCCGCATGTCCCCGAGGCTCCGTCGAACAAAAGGAAGACATCGCGAGCACCCTGATGTGGAAGGCGGACAACATTCCTCGGGGCCAGCGTCCTTGGCCATGGGCTGAAGCAGTGGGACCGGGCCATGCCAGCCCTACTGTGTGCCATGCTCAATGTGGAGATCACACAAGGAGCTTAAGGCTCAGTGACCCAAACCCCCAAGAAAAGGAGCAAGTGTGTGCCTGCGCAACCTCATCTGGTGTCCGTCTTCAAAACTGGCTTCCCTTGCACAGCCCCTGCCCGCACACCCCGTAGTAGCCACTCGGTGACAGGACCCCCGACACCTGGTGAAGGCAGAAGAAGGGAAGGGTGCCCCCATCACCCCCAGTTCTTTCCTTTAAAGGGCTTTGCTGACGAAGGGCGGCCTGGATTGGTGGGCAGTAAGAGCAGCTTACAAACACCTGGGAGCGTGGGGGCTTTCGAAGCTTCTGCCATTTTCCAAGCTCGTCCTGTGGGGATCTCAGTGCTCCTGCTGCTCAAATGACCCCGGGGCGCCAGGATGGAGTGTGTCACACACATGGGGTCAGAGGGGTGTCGAGGCCCGAGACACGTACAATTCAGCGTCACTCGTGTGTGTGTGTGTGTGTGTGTGTGTGTGTGTGTGTGTGTAGGAGTGACGCTGGCAGGGGGATGGGCAGGGATGAACACGAAAAAGCAAATAAAAGACGGAGGGGGGGTGTCCATTGTCAGATCCTGCTGACTACACACACACACACACACACACACACACACACACACACACAAGCACACGCACAATCTGTAGCTGCCCCATGAACTTTTTGTGAACTGTTTAAAAGTGGAGGTCTGTTGAACAAACAGCGGCGCCACTGCCAGCCATAATTTCATTGCAACAAGCTCAAGACTTAACTCTTTAGGCTCCTGGCCCGCGACGGAGCCGAGGGGACAGGGCCAGTGTGCCAGGGCCTGCCTGGCACCAGGTCCTTCTCGGGGTGACAGACAGGAGCCCAGCTGCCGGCAGGGACACCCTCGCCAAAGGCTACACTGCGTACCCCCCACCATGACCGGAGAATGGGGCCCCCATCTCTCTGGGATGCTTCACCAGGGGCCGGTGGGTAAGAAACCAGGAGAGGAAGAGCCATCACCCACTCCGATCACCCTCGAGGCTTCTAGAAGCGGCTGTTGGTACAGTTGGGACTTGCTTTCTTTCTTATTTTTTTACATCTTAAAGGGAAGCGCCTCCAAACGGGCTCTGCTGACCCTGGGGTGGCTGATGAACAGGGCCGCACTCCGCTGCTGATATTCAAGGCCCATCTGCCCCTATTTCTCAACATCCCCACCTCCCCCACCTCCCTCCCGGGCAGCTCGGTTCGCCCGGTGCCAGGACGTGTGAAGTCACTCAGGAAAGCTCTGGGCAAGCAGCAACCTGTTCGCGGTGCGTGCTGCCCGGCTCCACCCCGGCTCCCGGCTTAACCCCTTTCCCAGGAGGGGAGACTAGGGCACAGGCTGCGGGAGGTGTGGGACGGGGAGGGCAGACGGGGAGGCCAAGGCGTGGCTGGAGCACCGGGTCTGGGGAGAGACCTGGCTCGCAAGATGCAGACATACACCCAGGGGCCCGCACACTGAGGGGCCCGCCTCTCAGGTTGGCGGTAATGGGTCGCGTGGGAGAGCTCGGGTCCCTCTCCACACACTGGGCAGCCTGTGCTCTGGGAGCCAGGCGCTGTGATGAGCGAGCCTGGCCCGGCCAAGGGAGAAGGCCTGATTGGCAGAAAGAGGTCAGAGGGACCACCCTGTGACAGGCCTAGGGGGCGCATGGGCCTCAAGCACACCCGCCACCGCCATGCCACTTATTCCTGCCGCGAGGGCGCCAGCAGGGACCGAGGGGAAAGGGGGAGCTTCTCTCTGCTTTAAAGGCGAGCTCCCTCGCGGAACACAAAGAGCAGGATGACAAGGAAGGCGCCGGGGCCCAGGCGGCCTGAGCCAGGGAGGGAGGAAGGCAGCGCGAACCCCGCTGGCACCTGGCCTTCCTCCACCCGGGCCTCCTGGCACCAGGCCATGCCCGCCGCCGCCCTCCAGGTGCCCAGCAGTTCCCGGCTGCACATCGCGCCTGCCCAGTGGAGCGGACAGAATGGAAACCTGCCGCCGAGGCACCCCACTCCCGAGCTCCAGGGGCTCCCTCGCTGGGCACCCCTGTCCCAAGCAGGGACCCGGCCAGCGTGCAGTGGGCTTTCCTCCGGGAAGGGGTGTCCCTCCTCCCCTGGCTGTGCCTCTGGGCAGGTGGCTCAACCTCGCCATCCTTGGTCCCTGTCTGTAAACACGGGCACATGCTTTCCGGGGCTCTGCCTGGAATGGCTGGGACAAGCCATTCCCCCCGTTAGGCAGCTCTGCGCCCCCACAGTGCAGCCCCCCGGCCTAGTTCTCTGTGGCACCGGGAGAGCCGAGCTGGGCCGGGGGGCCGGGCGGGGAGGGTGACCTTCAGCAGAGTGGTGAGGGTTTCGGGGAAGCCAGAGCGACCCCGGGAGCCCTTCCATGGCGGCTTGCAGTGCAGGCAGTGTCACACACGGGGGTGGGGGTCCCATTTTACAAGGGGCTGTGTGTGTGTGTGTGTGGGGGGGGGAGACAGCTTCCTGGATGTGCAGTGTTGGGGCGGGCCCTCCTGGGTGTGCAGAGCAGCAGGTAGCTGGCACCCCAAGGCTGTCCCCCAAGGCCGGGCCTCAGGCTGCCAGGGCCCTCCCGCCTTCCTTGTTGGGGTGCCAGGGGGGAGCGATCCCACCCGCCCAGGCGCTAGCTCGGGGTACACTCTAGCCGCAGCGACAGCCTCCGGGGCCTCCCCACCCACGCCCCAAGTTTTGCATCCGTAACAGATGAGCCGCGGAGCCCGGGTGGGGGAGGAGGAGGGCGGGGCATCCCGCAGCCCTGACCTTTCCGAGCAACCAGAACCTTCCCACCCCCTCCCAGCGCCGTGGGTCAGAGGAGAGCCACCAGGGTGGATCAGGAGTGAACTTGGCCCTGGGGGCGGGGGCGGGGGCGGCGGCGGCGAGAGCAGCAGGGGCGCCCCCTCCCCCGACTCAGCCCCGAGCGCGATCAGTCGGCAACAAAGGGATTTGCTCTCCCACCGCACACACCCGGGCGGCTCCTGCCCCTCCCCCGGCTCCGCGCGGCGGCGCACCCGCTCCCAGCGCGACCGCCCGGCCGTCCACGACCCGCCCCCCCCACCCCCTGACCTGGATTAACCTAACCCTCAGCCCCGCACACTCCGGGGGCCCCTTTCCCCAGCCCTCGCTCGGCACCTCCGCTCCCCGACACTAAATCTTACAAAAATCAACTTCGGGAGGGCACGGGGAGCTGGGCTGTGCTGCCTGCCTGCCGCCCCCACCCCCGCATCAGCCCAGGCTCCCTCCTGACCAGCCTGGA